GAAAACCAAGGAGGCAGGGAGGCAGGCAGTTTGAGAAAAACGTCCAAGACACGAACCAAGCCAAAATCGATATGACTCGATTAACGTGCCTTGGATCTCGTCTCCAGTCTTCAGTCTTTCAGAGTCTCCTCAGTCTTTCGTTTTTCGTCTTTGGTGGTGCTATTGATGGCCCATGGTGGTTCCTTGGTGGTGTAGTCTTGGTAGAGCACTCTGGCGAGCTGGAGCTGGGGAAGCTGCCGCCCCAAGCGCCCCAAGTTGCATGTTGGTGGCGCCAGCCGCAGGACGATCGAAGAGTTTTCAAAGACCTGGATAATAAATATAGGTCAGGGGAGTTTTTATATTATAATAAATTAATGTAAAATATATATTTAATCTCTTAGTAAGACATTTAATAAAAGATAGAACTTTTTGTAGAGAAAAAGTCTTAAAAAAGACTCTTTATCGAAATTTTTGCGAAAACTAAAAGTATGGAGCCTTAGGATGATTTTTAAAAATGTTTTAAATGTGTTTACGATTTTAAACTACAAGCCTCTTATTTCTTTTGTATCTTAACAAAAAGTATTACAATTTATTAGATTTCTAAAGCCTCTTCAAATCATAAATATCTTCCAAGTTAGAAACTCCCTTTTAAATCACATAATATCATTCCCCTTTTAAATCACATAATATCATTCCCCTTTTAAAGGATTGTTAACTTGGCCCTAATTAAAGGCCTTTAGGTCTTTATTTTGTGTAAACCCTTTGATTAACCCTCGACAGAGACTCTCGATCTTAAAGACTGGAGCCAGACTCGAAACCCGGAGCTCCAAACTCCCATTTCCATCTCCAAGCCCCCAAAACCTGGCCAGCTACTTCTACTTTGCGTGGTCGCGTTCATCATTTTGGTGTCTTGTTTTGTGGGTTTCATTGCCTTCGGACTTGCCCCCCCAGCCCCCTGCCTCCTATCTCTGTGTGGCAACACAGCCTGCCCCTTTGGAGTCGCCCCCCTCATCACCACCGCCTCTGTTCTCCATCCGCCAGTTGTTAAATAGCTGGGCGGAACTTGATGAGATGATGGGCAATTATCTGCGGGAGGTCCGCTCGCACAGTGCGCTTAAGTGGGCGACAAGAGGGGGGAGGGGGCTTCCAGGGAGGTAGGGTTAAGGGGGGCTCTCAGACACTGGCAACAAACTATGTCTTACAACGTTGTGGCGGCGTTGTGCGTTTTTGTTTTTGCTTTTTTTTTTTGGAGCTCCGACAATGCGATTTTGTGGTTGCGTTGCGCATGCGCGCCAGCTTCAGCGCCATCGCCATCAACGCCTCGTAACGGCTGCGGGAGCGAACGAGACGGCCTCACCTGGCCAGAAAGAGAGGCACGAGCACTTGACGAAAGAGAGGGAAAGACACGCGTGCTGGCTAACAAGCCAGGACAGCTGGGAGTCGGGGGGCATAGAGTGTGGCCCAGCCAGCCCAGGAGTGGTGCAAGCTGGAGTGGTGCAAGCCGGAGTGGTGCTGGTATCTGGGCAGAAGCAGCAGCAGCAGCCAATGATTGCCCCAAGGCCAATTTGGGGAACCTGCGTATGGTTCCATTTCTCCACCAGAGATGCCATTTCATCATCTTAAGGCTCCCATTTCTGAACATTAAGATTATGTTGATTAATAAATTGGGTTAATATTAATAATTAAGGAAACATATAGAAGTATGGAATATTTTACCAAACAAAAACTCTTTAAATATCACACTATTTTTTAATCAAACCTTATGAAAGGTTTGAAAGGACTGAACATTGCTAAATTATCTCTGAAAGATATATTATTAACAAATACTAACATGTAGAGGTACTCCCTCATAGTAATAATATAAAACTATCAAACATTTTTTAAATTAAATTCTAGGAGCGAATCAAAAATAACATAATTACTCTAGAATCTAAAATCTAAATTTTAATAGGTAAATATTATAGGAACCTATACATGTATAATATTTATCTACAGAAACGTCTTAAGAATTTATTCCTCTTGAGAATGTATAGAAAATTATTAGAATAATTAGAATATAGAATAAAATTAGAATACTCTACACCTTAAACCAGTTTTAATGATTTTCCTTAAAAAAAAATATATATTTTTTAAAATTTAGTTCATAATATTCATAATAAAAATTATAATTAAAATAAACAATTTTTTGAACAAAAGTTGGCCAATTGGGCATCGCTGTTTGGCCAGGAGAGTTGAAAAGCGGCGGCAGCCATCGTTTGGTGGGCTCATTTCGTGGTGGCGGTGGTGCCGCCGGTGGTGCTGGGGCACCGATGGTGGTAGTGGTGGTGCTAGTGTACTTGGTGGCGGTGGTGCCGGAGCTGGCGTCACTGCGGTGGCGGCTCTGACGGCTCTGGCGGCCAAACAAACACGATGAGGCGTTGTTGGCGTCAGGGAAAAACTGCAGTCTGGAGTTTGGAGTTGGTTGGTTCCGCGATGGTTCCTTGCTGCTGCCGCTGCTTCTGCAGCTCCTGCTCCTGCTCCCGCACCACCTCCCCCCAAAGCCCCCTCCCCACCCAAAATGATTCCAAACGATTCCAGCCGGCGACGCCCTGGCGACGTAACTTTGTGGTTAATATCGGGGGAACCGAGGGGCTGGTTGGAACTGGAAATTGGAAGTCTGAGGCCAAGGATGAGGCTGACACGCTGGCATTCGATAATTGCCTTGGAAAGTATGCGCTTCTCTCAGTCTACAGTTTGCAGTCTTCCGTCTGCAGGCCTCGGTCTTCAAGCCCCCTCTCGGAGTCATCAGGCTTCGATTGGTCCTCCACTTGAAGAAGCTCATCAGGGGTGGAGTGCAGTATATACCAATATACCTATATATCTTTATAAATATATACATATATATCTCAAACGACAATTAATTAGTTTTGCTCGGCAAACTGCAGAACTGCCAGCTATAGCTGTGAGAAATGATTTCATTTTGTGGCATCAACTAATTGGCCGCAAAACGCTTTCAGCTTTCTGCTTTCTGCAACTCGGAATCTTCACTGGGGAGGCTGAAGAAAGACTTCTGGAGGAGGGGGAATAGAGCGATCTCTCACTAAATTAAAATCAATTAATCTTTAATATTGACAGATTTAGGGTATTAACGTTATTTTATGAGGGGTTTTTTAGGGCTACCTTAGGGCAAGGATTTTTATAATAGGGTTTGTCTGTTTTAAGATCCAGGTTCATGAATTTATTTCTCAACTAGAATAATGTCTATCAAAAAAGCACAAAAAAAACTAAAGTTGACTATAGCTATATGAACTTCCATATAATATATGTAAGTTCTTTAAAATACATATATATATTCTTCAATAAACCCTCAATAAACGTTTTAAACCAAATAAGATGTCAACATAATCGAATTGCCCCTATTGAAGTTGTTTTGTTTTCAATTACCATTTACCAGAGGATCGCTGGGGAGTGTGCTCTTCTCTTTACGTATGTACATATATCCCTTGTGATCCTTTTGGATTATCCTGCGGCTTATCGGGGATCTATTGTGCAGTCGGCTCTTCAACTTAATTAGTGCACGCTCGACAAAAACGCCAATCGAGGAACAAAGCCATCGAACCACTGAGCCACTGAGCCACTTCAGGATGTCAACCCTAACTATTCACTTTTAAGGATAAGAAGGGGAAAATGCCAAACGGCCAAGAAGGAAGAAGGAAGAGAGAGTCGGAATGATGAATGAGGAATGACAGTCGCAGATTCGAGAAACAGAGAAGCCGGAAGCCGGAAGACGGCCAGTTGGCCATGTGATGGCTGCTGATGCATACATCCCACTCCCTCGTCCTTGCAGCCAGGATACAGTCGATCACTACAAAAAAAATGCATTCATTAATCTAGCTTGGCAAAAATATCCATTGATTTGGAATTAGAATTGGGCATTCAAGGCGACCAGATTGAATCACTTACCTGCCATTTTCTATTATTATTATTATTATTATACTTTACTATTTATTATTATTAATTTATATTAATAACTAAAATTTTAGCAAAAGAATTAGAAGCATGCAGTCCTGATGGGCCATTGAAACCATTAACCATTATAAACCATTATAAAGATTAGATTAGATTACGTTCAGTTTATTAGTTATTACATATTATTATTTACATCCTCATACACATTCCCATTATTTATTGCAAATTTAATTGTTAAGTATTTTACATTAGTTTTGTTTTTAATTTTTTGTTAAAAGTGTTTTTTTAAAATCTCAAATTCATGGCAATTCCGAAATAATATGGCTTTTAAAATATTATCGTATTAAGTATCTATAGAATAGATTTTATATCATTTATAAATATTTATAAGAATAATAGGAATTGTTAGATTTAAATCATTTTATAGTCAAAATTATGTATTAAATATACTGCCCAGGTTAGTTATGGCTTTTGTTTGTTTCTTTAAAATTAGATGTCTGAATGAGTGTTTTTTACAATTTAAAAATATTACATTGGGTCATAATTAGGTCATAAACAATTCGAGTTTAATTTTATTATGTCAAATTTAAGACTTTTGAAAAGTGCTTTAAAATGAACGACTTCTTAAATATTAATTATCTTTAATTTTATAAAGATGGTTCAAAATTAAATATTTTATTAGATTGGAATATTCCTGCCTTTAATTAATTTTCAAATAAGCATTTATCCCTGAGTTAGCCTGAATTGACATTCTTTTGGAAAATCCTTTTGTTAATCCTTTTGAAAGTCCTTTTTGTAAATATTGAGATGTGTTGTTTTTAATATGTTAGTGACTAGTTAAGTTATTGTTAATAATTATTGACTGTTGATTAATTAATTTTGTAACAGTGTATGTAACCAGGCTGGTTGATGTGAAAGATATGTCCTATCAACAGCTTGATTTTAATTTCACCTCTCCGTCGGTCGACTCTATTTGTCTTTTTTTGCAAGCAAGGATCCTTTGTGTTTTTTTGTTTGTTTTTTGCTTCTGTTGTTGTTTTCCAACTGTTTTCCCAGTGTCCTGTGTATCCTGTGCAGCCTGCATGGGCACTTCCTTCTGGCTTCTGGCGGCGTTCAGCGGAGCGGATGAGCCGCATAGTTGGCCAGCAAGGTGGAAAAATCAGAACGCCGGCGAAAGCCGCAGGATGACGATAAACGATAAGGATAACCAAAAAGGATAGGCATGTATGTGCAGCGACAGGATATACGGCATCTCGACACAGGACGGGCAGAAGAATAATTACTTTAGTATAATTATGCGATTAGTTTATAGGCCAATAAGTTTCTAAGGATTCTTGAGTATAATTGTGGCATTTACAAGAATTTTGAAAAAATCCTTGCAGATCTGTAAAAAAAAAATAAAAAAATGTATATAAGTATTGAATTGTTTAAAAATAAGTAATAAATGTAATTAAATATTAAAGAGACCAAAACAGGTAAGGGATTTTGTTCAAAATAAATTCAAATTCAAAGAATTAAAAATAAATTAGAATAAAATATTTAACAAGAAAGCAAAGCTAACTTCGGGCGGAGCCGAAGTTGATATACCCTTGCAGTTAAAACCGGATATATATCGCAAACATCGGATATAGTTGGCCGATCCTTATGAGAATAGGAATATATAATCCAATTTATTACAATACAAAATCTAAAAAAAGTCCCAAACTTCTATCTTCAAAAATACGAAAGTTGATATTTCTACCAAAAACCATTTCCGATCGTTCAGTTATATGGCAGCTATAGGATATAGTCGGCCGATCCTAATGAAATTTGGTAGGTCGGATCAACTGACCAAATATATAATCTGTACCAAGTTCCAGCTTTCTATCTTCAAAAACACGAAAGTTGGGTCATTTCCGATCGTTCAGTTATATGGCAGCTATAGGATATAGTCTGCCGATCCTTATAAAATTTGGCATGTCGTAATGTTTTGCCAAAAATAGCTCTCATGTCAAATTTGAACTCTCTAACTCTAAAAACACCAAAGTTATACCATTTCCGATCAATCAGTTATATGGCAGCTATAGGATATAGTCGGCCGATCCGGGCCGTTCCGACTTATATACTGCGTGCAAAGGAAAGAAGGGTGTGTGCAAAGTTTCAAGACGATAGCTTTAAAACTGAGAGACTAGTTTGCGTAGAAACAGACAGACGGACAGACGGACAGACGGACATGCTCATATCAACTCAGGAGGTGATCCTGATCAAGAATATATATACTTTATAGGGTCTGAGATGTCTCCTTCACTGCGTTGCACACTTTTGACCAAAATTATAATACCCTCTGCAAGGGTATAAAAATTATCCAAAAAAATAATCCCAAGATGTGTCTGCATATTTGATCATTTGTTGTAGTTCTCCTTCCAAGATCCTGCAAAGATACTTGTCCAAAAGATAAAACCGTGACTCATCCTGGCCCACAAGGACACGCAAGGATATGTCATTCTGGCACACACTGATTCAATCAGCAAATCCTGAATTTTTGTGGCCCAAAGCGAGACTAAAGCCAAAATCGCATATCGCTTTCTGGCCATCAATAAAGCGCTATCAGACTTGGCTTAAGTGCCGCATTGGTGGCATGTGGCTAGGGGGGTGGGTGGTGCAACCACCTGCTAGGGTGGCTGCCAGTTGCCAGTGATATATTTTTCACGCTCATAAAATAAATGTCAGCCATAAACCGTGACTAACTCGAGAGACAAACAAATTACTAAATAAACGCGCATCGAAAAGCGCTCAGTTCCAATGACAACTGTCCGGCTGCCAAAGACAGGGGCGTCTCTTAAGAAAAAGGGGGGTTATTTCATATTTACTTTTTAAGAAACTTAGCAAAACCTAAAATATGGTTTGTTTTTAAAATAAAAAATAGTTAGGGCTAAACAAAGTTATGTATTTTAAGGGAAAAAGGTATACGACCTTTGTCATTTTTTGTTAAATATTTTCCCTATTTCTGGACTATTTTTTAACATTTGATTTTATTTTTATTTTTCTGAAATCTTTCAAGAAAAAATCTCTTAAGCAGATACGCTCCTGCTCCTTTCGACAAGTGTCCAAATGGACACGAAAGCCAAACAGCAGAAGCACTACCACTAGCACCACCGATTAGATGACCAGTGCCCCACCCAAAGTATCCCACCACCACCACCATCGACACCACCCACATGTGAATTGGAATATCCTCTACCGTATAGATGCCACATGCTACATGCCGCATCCGCATCCAAAATGTAAATATTTAATTTTGAAACAGTGTAACTAAAGGGATTCGAAACGCGCGTGTCTGGCCAAGTGGAGCGGTCAAGGGGGCAGGGAAGGATAATGCGGTGGGGTGGCTGGCTCTGGAGGAGGATTCCACGAAAGCCGCGTCGAAATCAACGAAACCCGCAGGATTCGTTTCGGTCCATTTCCATGCCACTGTCGGTTGCGAAATTGCTCTCGTTGTGACATGTGAAAAGTTGCAATTTTCTTGCTTTTATTTTTTTTTCGTCTAGAGGGTTCTGGGGAAAAGATCAGAGATTTGGTTTCCAGTGAAGGATACTAATAAAAATTTAAAGTAGAAATGCCAAGAATTTTACAAAAAGAGCTGGAGGAATTAGAAATATCCTTCAATAGAAGGTAAGAACTCTTAGAGTCTAGTATAGACTATATGATAGCCGGTACTCTCGATCTTATTCATACAAATAATTCCTTAGTTATTGTTTCCCCTAGAATTTTCCTTTATCCTGTAAAGGATTGTCCTTTCCATTGTCTCTTTTCTGTAACTTTCTTTTTTTACTATAAATTATATGATTAAATTATCTCAAAATTTAAAAAAATGGTTAACTTTATGAATCTTTTAGCTTCTATAATTTTTCTAAAATTCATAGCCTCTAAAAATTACCATTCTGTGTACCCTACAATTTTTCCAAGTGCCTTCTGATGCCTTTAGTTTCCTTACTGGCCACATAACAAATGACATGTGTCCGTGTCCTTTTTTTTATGGCTCAATAATATCGAGATAAGCGGCGTATTAGACAAAAGCCAGCCAGGCGACTTCCTTGGTTATAGCTGCGGGTCCCTGGGGTGTAATTTTCTTACAGGACTGCTGGCCAGGACCACTCGCCATAGGTGGGCCCCTCCCGGCTCACGGCTTACAAAAGTTTGGCAGCCTTTGGTCCTTTTTTAATCGATTGATTGCTGCGTATTTAGTTTTTTATGCGGGACCTGGCCTAATCCTTTTTGTCAATCCCCTTTAAAGTCCATTACCATTACATCCTTTTCCGTCCACCTCGGGTGTCCGTTTTGGGTTTCAGGATAAAATCAAATTGCAAATTGGCTTCAGTTTGCGGCAAACTAGAAATCGAAGGTTTTTTTTTTGGCAGCTGACCAGGGAAATGGTTATTTTCGATATTAAAATGAAAGGATCTCTAATTTGTGGCAATATTTTGTGGAGATAGATTCAATTAGATTCAATATATATGTATATGCCCCCCAAGCCAAGCCAATTGCTTTTGTTTTCGCCCTTGGTTGGCTTTAAAATAAACATTTATTTAAGGCCCAAAGTCAAACTTTATGCAGATGTCCTGGCAGGACTTAACCCGAGCCCCGGCCGAGCTGGTTCCTCCCCCGGGGATTATCCTGATGGCAATCAAATGTTTCGCTAAATGTTAAAGACCGCAGCCCCAGCGGGCGATCTATGGTAAATATTTTACAAAGGGAGGGGGGTGGCTGCTGGTGGATGGATCGTTGGGTCGATGGGTAGTTGGGTGGTTGGGTGGGTGGTGCGGAGGTCACACCTCTCGGCCGGGCTGGCTATGCAAATCTGGATGCTCTGGTTAATTTTGTATGCGATGACAACAATTTAATTTGCCAAAGCCATAAAAATGAAATAAAATTTTCAATTGTAGCTGTTGGGCGTGGATTTGACTGCCAGTTGAGTGGTGGGGTGGTGGTTAGGTGGGGGGTTTGGTGGTTTGATTCCTTTTTTTTATGGGTCTATGTGTGTGTGTGTGCTGTTTTTGTTGGATTTGAATTTCGGTTTCGGTTCTGGTGGCTGCACTTGGCAGTGGCAGTGCGCAAAGTGACGCCGTCGCTGCCAATGACACTGTCATCCGGCACAACCCTCGGCCGCCTCATCCTACACCCGTGGACCACCCCTCCGTCCCCCTGTCTCCCTGCGCCCCATCAAACGGATGACATCCTGTTGACGCCTGCAAACCGCCTGACTGGCTCAGCTTCCTTTTTGCTCAACTGCCTTTTTGACTGCCGTCGTCGGCGTTGCTCGTATTTTAGATTCTTTTCGGTATTTTTCTGTTGTTTTTTTTTTTTGACTATTCCACCCAACCACCCACTTTGCAACCCACTGGTGGTGCAACCCTCTCAGGCATAAATCACAGTGACAAACTCGTCGCATGCAAAGGCGCGGAAAGTGGCAGTGCCAGTGGAATGTTGAAAGCGTGCCATGTCATCCTGGCTGTGGCACAGTGTCCTTTTCGATTTTAATAGATTTTTTTTTTAAATCTAAGATGTCTAAATAAATTAATAATTAATAAATCTAAACAGCCAACATCTTAAGAAACAAGCTAGTAAGAAAAAAGACATCTTAACATCTTAAGAAACAAGAAAAAAAGCTAGTTTATTATACCCGGTACTTCGGGCTTCTTTTTTTGGTTACTATTATTTTTGTGAATATATTTTTTTTTTAAATGCTTTTTTCAAGAGTACAATATATTTTATTAGCTGTAAAATGTTACCTAGTTATTATTTATGTTTTTAATGATATGAAGGTAAGCCTTGGCCTACAAAAAAAAGAGCTATAAAAGAGCCTACAAAAAGGGCCTAGAGCAACAAAAAAAATTTAATAAAATTAAAAACTATATACATAGATGATTATAGAAGCAAATAAAGGACATAGCATAGATATTTAGCATTGAAATATAGAATTTAAAAAGTAAACCTTAAAGAACTTTACTTCGAAGCCTAATTTATATTATTATAAATATTATTTATATACATACATTTTCTGTACATATTCCCTAATATTTAAAAAACTAAAAAGCCCCTAAAAACAATAACTTTGTTTATCCGAGAACCTTAAAAATTTCTTCTAAAAATTCCCCTTATATTTTCACAGACAAATAATCCAAAAACCAAAGCACAGTTCCCTGGGCGACCGCGTATTAAAATGTTTCCCCATGCAAAGTAGCTTGACTTTGTCACCAAAAGCTGGGTGGCTGAAACCACTGGACCGACACCCGAACGAGCATCCTTCCAGCCAATCGGAATACGCCGGAATCCCGAATACGGAACTTATAAAATCCGGACTAGGGCATCACCACTCACCACACCTCTCCCTCGGCATATTCAAATGCAATTTGCCAGAAGTGCGCATAAGAATCCCATAAACAAATTAGGAATGATTTTTCACTTTGGTTTTGCGGGTTAGCCGTAAGATACAAAGATACACAGAGATACAGATGCGAGGGGGGGTAAGTTAGGGGTTGGGTGGCAATCAAAGGCTTAGGCACGGTCACTAATAACTTGGTGGAACGTGCCCGGCACTCGAAAGTTGTAATCCGTACTCCGGGGACCAGAGTCCGTTCGTTCGTGGCTTTTGGTATCCCCGGGATTCTGGGATTCTGAGATTGTGGGATTCCGGGGCAAACTTGTCGTCATCTATTGACAGACAATCAACATCAAGGCACTTGAGTGGCGGCATACGGACAATGGTAAATAATACACTGAAAAAAAACTGTCTATCAGGAGAAACTTAGACTTTTAAAATATATGGGCAAGGTTTTGGTTAGATGGAAGTTAGATTTTCTCGAAAAAACTGTCATTATAGTGAATTTTCAAATTAAAACTGTATATTTTTAAGCTATAAACGTAAAGGAAAAAGTAACGAATAATTATATATACTTTTTATAAGAATCTTTTGAATAAAATAAAAAAATTATTGGAGAATTAAAGCGTATATGTTTTTATTTATCAGAGGTTGGCTATCCACGTAGGTGACGCACGCGTGCTGCATTTTTAAGATAAATAAATAAATACTTTAAAAATCTATAAAAAATATTTAAAAACTTCTTTGGATGTATAGGAAATTTGGTAAAATATTGAAATTTTAACTTATTAAAAGAACTTTAAAGAACTTATGAAATCAAAGCGATTCTGAAGCGTATTTTCTTCTTGAACTTTTAGAAATATATTAACTTTAGAAATTTCCTAATAACAACCATTTTCGTATTATTTTAAATTTCTTTTTAGAATAAAATATTTTTTCCAATCTTAATTTTTTCTAGCAGCCTTGTAAACCAATTTATTTTTTTTTAGTGTCTAAGGAAAACAATCGAAATCAAAGCCCGACCGCAAGATATCACAGATTTTCATTATGAAGCATTTAAGCCAGTCCAATCCCTCACCACCGCCCAGCTGTCCAACTTGGCACCCACCACCCACTGGCCGTCCAGGAGGGTTGACTTTTCCAGGGTCTGGGCCTTGGTTTTGGATTCGGATTCGGTTTCGGTTTCGGCTTGTCTCGCAAATTAAATTAGATGCTTAATATGCAGCGAACGTTTCATTTGTTTTGCGGCTAGAAAATCAACGTGGAAAATTAGGCAAACAAAGCTCTTTAGAAGCAAAAAAAAAAAAAATAACAATACCGAAACCTTAACCAAAACCAAAAGAAAACCAACAGCCAAAAAGCAAAGGCCCACGAGCCGAAGGCAATGGAGGCATCCTGTGGCATCCTGTGCGGCATATGCTGCCTCCATCTTCGCATCGGACGATGGCTTAGCCTCTAATGAGGCACATTACTTTCTGGCCGGAGAGATTTGAAATCATTATCCCATCGGAACTAATCCAGGCCGGGATTTCGGACTTGGGGCATTTGTTAATTTTGTGCAAACATCCTCTTCCCCCAGCTCCCGGCTGAGCAAATATTGGGCATGTCCTGTCCCACGACTTGATTGCCGGTCCAAAAAGTACAAATTATTCACTAGCACTAAGAAATTGGATAAAGGTTTTCAATAAAAGGTTCTTTTAACAAATATTTTGTTCTTCGATTTTAATTCGAATCAGTAGGGAAAAGATTCATGAAACACTGAAGGTACTTCTTAAGGGAATCGGATGTGAATTGGCAAGCATACTTGTATATGGTAGACTGCGTAGGAAACCATATATGAGAATGTAAGATTTGACTAGGGGATCCCCAAAACAAATTTTTAAAAACTAATTAAAGATTTGGTTCTCAGATTAAGATTAATGTTCTTAGATTAATGGGATAAAGATCCAAAAATCGTTTAATGAATTGATCTTAAAAATCGAATTAGCATTGGAAAATATATAGACATCTTAAGTAAAAACATACGATAATCCAGCATTTTAAATAGGGTCTCAGAACATTTTTTTTTTAATTCACAAACTATTTTTCCTTTGGTTTGAATGCAGACGGATGGGGAATCGATAAACAAATATTTATAGGTATATCTATTAAGAATCAGATAAGAACTGGCAAATATATAAGTACTTTTAGAATCCATATATAAGAATCTAGTATTTCGCGAGAGGTTTGCTTTCAAAAATGGGGTAAAAATAAATTAAAATATTTGGTTGTTTGATTTTTCATGCAAAACGATGGAGAATTCATCCACAAGTCGCTTAAGGTATTCCCCTTAAGAATCGGAGAAGAATGGTCAAAGATATATACATCGCAAAAAGTCATACATAAGAATCTAGGATATTAAAAGGGGACTCCCAAACATAAATGGGGAAAAAAACAAACAAATGTGATGTTTTTATATTTTAAAGCAGATTAGCGGGTAATCGATCAATAAATCTTTATATGTATTTCCCTCAAGGATCGAATGAGAACTGACAAAGATAATGTCATTATAAGAAGCCATTCTAAAACTAAGAAACTAAGTTCCTCCAAGAGGATCGCTAGTTTGTTTCCAAATTTTAATGCAGATTGGTGAAAAATCGATCCAATAATGACATATAGTTTCTGGATCTTGAGATAGATTAATCGAAAACAGGATTAATAGAGAATAGGAATAGGTTTCCACTTAGGAACTATATAAGCAATGGAAAAGATATGAACATAGTTATTCATGGAAATAGCAAACATTGGACTTTTATAGATATGCATGACGGACTTTAAAAGGACTTTTCTTAACAATAATAACAATATCATAACTACATATATATTAACCGTTGTAGCATATAATAAAAGATAACATAGTGTTTAAAATTTCTATAAAATATTTTAGTTTCCTTCACTTACTTTGAGGATGTTATGTAGAAGGTTTTATAGTATATAGCATTTGTTCAGTGATGTTGATGTTAGTTGGCCATTTACATGTTTTTATCTGAAATGTGTTTTAAAATTTCATTAATGAATATGTTTTAAGAAAACTTAAATAAAATAATGAAATACAAACTGAAGTGGTTGATGAAGTCCTCCTGGTTGGGCTCCTCCATTTGGTAGCTAGTTTGGGGTTAGGAACTTGGTAGTTTTTTTTGGAATCTAAAGGCAGTATTAAGACTTCAGTTCACGTTCTTGTTAGATGGTGGTGGATTCTGATTTAGCTCCCGTAGCTGTTCTTGTAGCTGCTCTTGTAGCTGCTCGTAAAGTTGATCTTCAAGCACACATTCTTCCTCAGGCTGTTCCTCCACAGCATCCTTATTCTGATGCTGCTGCTGATCCTCATCGTCGTCATCGTCGTCATCATCCAGCACATGGATTACCACCGGAACGTTCTCCTCAACCTCCTTTGGGCATTCTTTCCGAAGCTGCAGCAGCAAACGCAAGGCTATGTCTTGGAAGCGACTCCTCAGAGAGTCCGAAAAAGTGCTGACGAAGGGCATCAAGCTAATCAGGAACCTGTAGTCCGAATCATTCGGATCTATCTTTACGTTCTGGGCACTGCCAGACGGCTTAGGCTTCGAGACCCCCGGCATCTCATCCTGGACGGTGACAACATTATCTACCCCCTCGACGCAGTCCGGTAAAGTCTTATCCGGGAAGATGGGATTGGGATTATGGACAAGGTCTGGGATATGAGTGGAAGCCGTGGGATTCTGGGGGACGCTGTTCGGCAAAGTATCATTTGGGCAGATGCGATTGGGAGAACGGATAAGATCTGGGGTATGAGTGGAGGCCGTGGGGGGATACTGGAGGATCGGCATCACAGAGGAATCCTCAGCGGGGCACTTGAAGGGCAAGGGGCCAAACGCGTCCCTCATGAACTCCATATCTTTGAACAGATGCCAGCGAGAGGCGGCGCCCGTAAAGGTCGAGCGGCGCAGTTCGTTCCGGAAGGTGCTTCGCATGATCTTCCACTTCCGCTTGCAATGGTCCACGTTTGAATTTACGGCCCGGGCCACCTTTACCCAGTCGCGGTTCATGACATGGCGCCGATCTCCGAGACCCAAACGCGAGTCCCAAATGGACGGGCAGACAGAGATTTCCCTTAACAAGTGTTTCCTATCCAGGTTGTTGTTACAATTCTCCATCGTCAGGCAGTTATTCTCCAGATGCGTTAGTTAAGCACTAAATTTTCACAAAGTTACGGCTTTTTGGCAGATCCACTTGTCACTTGGAATGCTTTTTTAAAACTTTCAATGAGCCCTGGTTTTGGTGATGCGCCGATAATGTGTCGATATTGCATCCCTACCTCAACAAATTATCGATAAAAACTGTTATCACAATCGACAAAGTTCTTGTTCAGCGTTCCGTTATAGGAATTTCCCCTGGAGTTAACCTCATTGTATGAAAAATTCTTTTAAAATACATTTGAATGTACATACATATATAAAAAAAAAATTGATCAAGTTTTAACTTTAACACCTGTTAGTGTTTATTTTAATATTATTGTCATAATTTGGAGTTAATGCATTCTAGCAATACATTCTACACTTACAAAAATGCAAGTCACTAAATCTTAATCTTGTTACATCTTTATAATCCTTTAACTTTTTTAAAAATAAACTTCACCAACGCCTTTCGACGATCAAGAAGCACCTTTAGCAACTAATATTTCAGAATTTTATTTTGTTTAGGATATTTTATGGATGTTGTTAGGATCTTGATGAGAAAGCCAAGCAAGCAAGCTTTCCGCAAAAAAAAAAAATGGCGAAATTTTCCCGCTATTTTTACATTTTGAGTGAAAACTGTTCTTCATAAAAAAAGGTTAAACTCCGCCATTTTTGTATGTATGTATGTTATGTATGCATGTATGTATGTATGTAACTCCAAGCTTCCAGGCAAAAAACCAACTTGATTTTTATTAAATTTGAATCTGCTTAGATTACTTCAATCATTAAAGAAGTTATCAAATTTACTTTAAAATATGGCCAAGAATTAATTAAAGAATGAATAGCCACCAGTATTTTTCAAAAAATTTCTTGAAAATTTTCTTGAAAATGTTGTATTTTCCTGTTTTCTTTGCGTTGAGAAAAAAAAAATGAAAGGAGACAAATCAGGAAAATATTGCGAGTCCTATTAAATGTTAATCCGTCTATAACTTTGCAATCCTTTCATTAATTCCAAAAATAAAAAAATTAAATCGTTCAAAAGATGATGAATAGAAAACTTACTATAAATATTTTTGTAAATTAGCTTTTTTTTTGTGTAATTTGTAGCTTTTCCGCCATTTTTTATGCTGCAGCGGCACTCGAGTGCGGTTTCAGTTAGGGTGTCTTTGTTTTTCGTATTGTGTTTTATTATTATTATTATTCCTTTATATTTCTTAAATATATCTCTTATAATTTGTTCCATAAGATCCATTACAATAACTTCAAAGTTTAAATTAATTTAATAAAAAAGAAACCACCCACGAGGATTAACAACAAAATACATTCGTCATCTGTCAAAATGTTGATTGATTAAATTTGCCAGAACACCGTCTTAGGTTTGGATGGTGGACTGGTAGTGGTGGCTCCATTCTGGTCAGTTGCGAGATGGATGCCGAGCTACCTATTGAATTCCAGCACCAAATAACGAAACCACCAAGCCGAACCGCCGAGTGACCACAAATCCAAATTGACCCTCGACTGTGTGTGTTGGTTGGATGGTTGGATGGCGACTGAAAATCGAAAACAGAATCTAAATCCAAGCCGGGACATTTGTATGCAAATTCGGTGATTGCTCTGGCGAGATCCCAGTTCCTTCTTGGCCACAGCCAGAGTCAGGCCCTGAGATCCCGAAAGGGGGAAACCACAAATGCAGGAGCCGACCACACAATAAATGGGCATAAATTACACACGACCCGACCGGAGGAGGAGGGAGGAGTCTGTTTTGGCGATGAGGGGGATCATCATTTCTGGAAGGGATGTGGCCAGAGCAGGAGCAGGAGCAGGAGGAGATGGAGACGGCCGCTGGCGCCATTGGAGTGCGGCGTTGCCACTTGAATTTTTGATTTAACAAATGCTCATTTGTAAAACGGCTCCAGCTTTTTGCTTTTCAGCCTTCGTTTCTTGCAAATTCAAATCGGTTGGCCAACAGTACCGAAGGAGAGGGGAGAGAGGGTCTATAGTCTTGGCCAAAAAGTTTGCCCACAAACTTGGCTAACTGGCTAACAGGAAAACGGGCAAACTGGCAACAATAATAATGTCACGTTTATCGTGTGCAGCTAATTACTAACAAAAAGATAGTTTGTAATCCCAGCACAGAGAGAGAGATGGCCTGTTGTTGTGGCCCAAAGGATAAAAGGGGGCGGTGCTGCTGTGGCCGAAAACCAGATCAGAGACTAGACCACCGCCAGTAGCCAGTCAGCCAGCCAGCCAGCCAGGGAGTATGGGGGTCGGAAACTTTTGGCCTAGGAAAGCAAAGCAAATCCGAGCAAAACTTGGCCAAAACATGTGCAGCTATCTCTTGGCCAGAGTTTTCGGGCATTAGCACACGCCTCACTGTCTTGGCCAAAAGTACGAGCTAAGAAAACAGAAAACAGTAACAGTAACAGAAACAGAAACCGAAACCTAAGCCGACTTTGCATTTTGGCCAACAGCTGCTTCTTATAATACAGCTGCTTATAAACTTTTTGGCAACACAGCCCCCGGCTGGTATTAGCCCGAAAACCCCACTCCGTCTATAAACAAATTTTATTTTATTTTTTTTTTTTTATAAATATTTTACTACAATATATATGGTTTACAAAGTCAAATTGTCTGGGTTAGTAAGTAGTATAAAAAAAAAGATCCTTCCTTAAAAAACTTTATCAAAACTTTGCTAAAGTTTTCCAATTTTTTTTTTTTTAAAGCTATAAACGAAGAAAAGCATTTTTGGTTGAGCAAACATTTTCAACATTTTCGATTTGTGCCAGTTTCGAACAAATATTCCAAATATCACGGAAGATTCTTAGTTATTTTATATCATATCATATGTCTTATATCATATATGGTTAATTGACAACGATGTATGCTTTACGTAGGAAACAAAACTTGAAACAATCATAAATATTATATTCATCAGCCTTTTTCGGTTTTGTATTTTGTATCAAAAGCAGGATTTATTCCAAAATCACATGTAAACGTTATTAATTGGCCGCAAACCGAGAAAGGCTTTTATTTTGACTTTTCTGAGCTGAACAAGTACTTGTTTTTCACTCGTTCTAGACTAGCATAGCCACTTGTTTCCTTCAAAGGGAAGTAGCTTTGCTAGACTTGATGTATATACTCCCTCCGATTTCCTCCTTTCTTTGACTAAATCGAATAATATCGCTTTGAGACTCGCTGCTTCGCTTGGCACAGCCAATTCAAAAAATGTAAGGCGACGGAGCTCTGCTCCGGATCCTCCTCCTCATAGCTCACCGCCCGTTTGGATGCCAGTGCCGGTGACCATGGTGGGGCCAGCGAAGGACAATAGATCCGCCTGATCCGGTTTGTCGCGCGTGGCATGATAGGCTTCGCGCTCGCGATCCGGAAACTTGGTGGGCAGGTTGGGTGAATGCAGGTTGACCTTGGCCTCGAATCGCACGCCAGCCACCTCGACCTCGTAGTGGCCGGAGAGCACGTACTCGTTGGTCACCGGCAGCTCCTTGCCTTCGGCATCAAAGTTTCGCACGAATCCCAGACAGACCTGCTTCTCGAACGTGTACCCATAGCCAGTGGTGGTGGTCATGCCCACGTAGACGCCGTCCCGATATATGGGCTCTCCGCCCCAGCACCACATGTCCACCTCGTGGTCATGGTCGTTGAGCAGCAGCTGGACATACATTCGCTTAACGCCCTCCTCCCGCTGCTTCAACAAAGCACTGCGTCCTATGAAGTCGATGGGTTTCTGTTGCGATTTGAGTTAAAAAATATTTTAATTAATATTTAAAAATAAAATTAGTGACTTTGCAGTCTCGACTTACATTGAACTTCACCCGCCAGCTGCGTCCGCACTCCAGGGGCGTGGTGAAGGTATCCAGATCCTGGCCCCAAAAGGCGTAGAACTTTTCGATTCTCAAGGCACGCGTGGCATAGTAGCCTGGGGTATTAAAAAATGCATTTTTTTAAGGAATTCTTAATTTAAAATTAATAATCAACCCACCAGCATGCTGTATGTTGAACTTCTGGCCCGCCTGGTAGAGTCTGGAGTAGACATGCAGGGCATACTCGTTGGGTATGTAAAGGACATAGCCCAGTTCTCCGGTGTGGGTGATGTTGAGAACCCGAATGCCATCCGCCAAGCCAACATCCAGTTCCTGGAAACGGAGGCCTTTAATAAGAACTCTTAATAAGTGGAAGGTGTAGCTCTACCTTATAGGTGAAGAAGGGGAAGCTCTTGGGCGTGAGATCCGTGTCAGTTAGCTCGGAGAGCAGGATGCGCGAGTAGGGGCCCAGGATGCAAATGGCCGTGTACATGGAGGTCACATCCGCCACGTTCACCTTGGCCCTCAGGTGGTCCGGCATGTGCTTCCTGATCCAGCACATGGAACGGGTCTGCTGGATGGTAGGGGCAATCATCATGTAGCTAGCCAGGTTATGGAGGGATGAGATTAATCATGAACTGAGGAGCCGGAATGACTCACTGTTTCTCCGATAGCCTGGCCAGGGAGCAGTCGTTCTCGTAGCCGCCGTTGGGGTTTTGCATGCCCGTATGGATGATGGACCCAACGGCCACGTCCACGTCGTTGGAGCAGAGGTACTGGAGCAGCTCCACCACCTCGTTGCCCTTCGACCAGAAGTCGTATTTGGTGAAGGAACTGTAATCGGCGATGCCTATTCTCTCGCGGCAGGCGCGATACTCGGAGGCCACATGGTCGAACCAGGGGGGTTTCCCAAAGGTCCGGGTCTGGGCGATCCGGAAGCGAGGTAAACCAAACTCATCTGAAAGGGAACTTGCATTAGAGTCTGATTTCCATGAAAAGAAACCATCACCAACCCTTTTTGTCGTTCTGATCGAAGTAGTTGGGCCTTTCGTAGCCCATAGACTGGCCGAAGACTGCACCAGCTTCCTTGAGCTGCGGATAAATGGGCGACATGCGCAGATTCCTGCCCGTTTGGAACTCCTCGAAGGGATAGTTGATCTCGAAGTGCTTGCCGGGCGCCTCCTTGCAGCGATCTCTCAGGAACTTGCGGTTGTTGTGGAGCCCCAGGAACCGGCTTATGTCCAGAATATGCAGATCCAGGTAGGTGGATCCTTTGGTAATCATGTCGGTGAGTACGCGGCCAATGCCGCCAGAGGCAGAGACGCCCATGGTCTTGTTGCCGGCTGCCACATAGTAGTTCTGTATTTCAGGCGCCTCGCCCAGAATCCACTTGCAGTCCGGCGAGAAGACCTGCAGGGAATTGGTCAGCCTGTCCAGCTTGGCCTCCCGGAAGCTGGGCACTCGCAACAGCAGGGCGTCCAGCAGTTCGTGAAAATGATCCCAGTCCGGAGGATGTTGGCGGGCCGTCTGGGACAGCGGTATGACGCCGTCCTCGTAGACCATTTTGGCTTCCCGCTCGAAGCCGCCGGCCAGGATGTGGCCCTCGCATTCGCGGAAGAAGATGCGCCCATCGAAGTCGCGCACAAACGGGGTATCAGGACTGAGTCCCTCGATGGGTTTGGTGTGAAGATAGTGATGCTCCACGGCTTTCAGGGGCACTTTGACCACTGGCTTGGACAGAGTACCCACTTCGCGGGCCCAGAAACCGGTGCAGTTGATAAAGTACTCGCAGTCGATGTCTCCGGCCGTGGTCTCCACGCGCCTCACCTTGCCGTGCTCGCTCTGGATCTTCTTGATGGCACAGTGCTCCACCACACGAACGCCCAGGCGGCGGGCTTCTTCCATGTAGGCCTGGCACACCAGGTGCGGATCACACACACCGTCCTCGGGTATCCACAGGCCGCCCTCAATGCCGTCCAGCGAGAGCAGTTCGCAGTGCTGTTTGCACTGCTCCGGCGAGAGGATTTCGCAGTGCATGCCCCAGGCAACGGCCTGGGACTTCATCCGGTTGAAGGAGGTCATCCGGTCGAAGCTGCGGGCCAGATTCAAGCTGCCCACTTGACGCCAGCCGGTGGGCAGGCCGCGTTCGGCCAAGTTCTTGATGAGATCGATGGAGTACTCGGCCAGCTTCAGCTCCGTGTAGCTGGGCTCGAAGCGTCCGGCCAGACCGCAGGCGCTCCAGGGCAGCTCTCCGCCCACTCGATCCTGTTCCACCAGCAGTGTCTCCCCGCCCCATCCGGCCAGGCCGAGATGGTAGGCCACCGAGGCGCCAGTGATGCCGCCTCCACAGATGACCACCCGAGCCTGGGACGGCAGCTGGCCGGCTAGTTCCTCCCTCAGGTCCGGGGCCTTCGAGGGCTGGAACTTACGCTTCCGCAGCACTTGCTCATCCGACGGATCCGCGGCGGCATTTCCGCTCACCAGACGGGCATTGCATCGCCTGACGGAGGCCAATCGCAGACCAATGCCGGAGCAACCGAAACCCAGGATCTTGTACATCCTCTCCAGCGGCGATTTCTCGACGGGATTCCGCCCGATATCGCAATCATACACCCACTTGCCAGGTGTCCGGGTTGTAACTCAGGTAAGCCAACAGGTTCAGTTATAGTTTCAGGTTCACCTGGTCCTCTGGTTAACTTAAAATCCTAATTAATTAAAAAGAAAAACAACCTTGTTGTTTTGTTGTTGTTTTATGTCATCAAAATCGAGACGACCGTAAAATACCAACAGAGATGCCATAGCGCGTGAGTATCTACGGCCACATTGGCAACGCTGTTATCGATAACAGTCCCAAAAGTGTCCTAAGGCGCAAAGTTTGAAATATTTAAAATTAATTGATCAAAAATAAAAAGTTAAAATTAAAAAACGCTCAATCTCAAAACTGTGTGTCTTTTAATTATTTTCCCTTTCGGGATTTTGTTAATTTTTCAAAAGCCAAATGCAAAATAAATTGAAAAAGTCTGAGAAATATTTAAATCGAAACTTAAAATTGAAAACTTAAATAAAACTTAAAATATTACCTAACTAAATGTTACGTAAAATGTTACATAAAGATAGCTTTATCCCTTATAGTCTTCGAGACCCATGCGTTCTAAATTTTAGCTCGTTTGTATGGGAAATGGTATATATATGGGTATATCTCCTCTACAAATCGGCAGATATAAAAATTTGTTTTTCACATGTTTTGATATGTATTAATTATTAAAAGAGTTTGGCATAAAAAGTTTTTTAAAAAGAACCTTTCACTATTTGTCTTAAAACTTTAACTTGTAGTGGAGTCTCCATGTCAAATCCTATAGCTCTATATCTTGTACTCTCTGTACTCGGCTGTCGATGCTAATCAAGAATAAAGTATACCATATGTACTTAATGGGGTCAAAGATGATTCTTTTTCTATGTTTAGTAGAATAACATAACTTATAATCCCATCACTGTAAGTCCAATAAAATCACAACACATTGGTTTTTCTTTAGAAGATTTATTTCCAATAACCACCAAAACACCCAGTAACTTCATAGTTGTTTTTTTCTATTTTTTTGTAGTTATCTTTGATTTTTTTTTACAATTTCTGCGCAACCCATTCAATTATTTTGTTTTTAGCGAGTTGTGTGTTTGTATTTAAAGTTTATTTAACTGGTATGCTTATGCTTTTCTGCTCGTTTCCCCAAAAAAAATCATCATACGGAAATCAGACGAAAAATCAATAGTTAACATCAATTACGAATCCATTTAACTGCATTTTGTCCATCTATATAATCTGGTATATAATTCCATAGTTTCTTTTCTTTTTCTTTGCAGAGTTTTTAAGATTTATTTTTTTGGCAAGTCGATTTCTTTGTATCTCAGTGTTTATTTTTATTTATATATTTCCACATTAACACTTGATAGGATCGATTGCTTATCAACATCATTATCAACGTCCATTAAAACTAAACTAATTTTTACAAGGACCGAAGGGTGTTATTCAAATTCAAATGCGATGATATGCGCACTAAAAACTTAATCCATACAGTAATTGCCCTTTTTGAGGGAGCTTCGTGATGGCCACAAAAATATATATATCATATTTTCCACCAAAATACTTATTAAAACCAAAAACAGTAAAGATTATCCAGTAACAAAAACAATAGGAATTTTTAGCAAATCAGTCCCATTTAAAATTGTATATTTATTTTGAAGTGGATACTGTAGACTTGCTCTGGAATTGAATTTATTGCAATTAAACTTTTACTCGCCTCTTTAACCATAATAATGATAATAACGGTAATCATAATAGTGTAATATATAGTTTATAGTATATAATCATAAGTTCATACGCAGCATTGTTAATATAAGTTAATTTCTCCGAACCATCTCGTAATCGCGACCTTTCATTAAAATATAGACATAACATTATGTTCTCGTAATCCATAATCCATAATAATATTTATACAGAAGGTGGTTTTCTCTGTTTGTTATATATATATATATATTATATATTTTTTTTATTTTTTATATTATTTTTTTGTTGTCACGTGCTCACAAACAAAATAAATCAATATATAGTTTAGTAGATACAATTACGAGTTCTCGCTACTGGCTACCGCTAATTCATAATCCATAATTCTGGGGTCGGGGGATTGATCTTATTTATTTTTAGTTTAATATTATTTTTTAGTTACTCTCACAGAATTACAAACTAGATCAATGTGGCCCCTAGTGTGGGTTACATCGTTATATCTTCATGCATATCCTGTTTTGCTCCAGCACTTCTTCATAGACTAAAGACAAAAAAAAAACAAACAAACAAAAAAAAGTTTATAAATCAAAAATCAAAAAAAAAATTGACACATTTATTTCTCTAGGTGTAAACACATCCAGGCATTTTGGAGAAGTAATGCTTAAAGTTTTTGGAAATCACCAATTTAATTGACCTGTATAAGTGCTGCATAGTGAGAAATATTCACTTTTTAGTTTAGAAAATTTCGAAAATATATTTTTTCCAACTTCCAATACGCCAGGATATAGTATATATATTCTTTTAATACAATTTCTTGTGTGCCAGATTCGAGGAATTGTCAACTAAGAGGGCTAGGCCTTTATCTAATGTATACATTATATATTTGAATAAATAAATTAGTTGTGATTTTAGTTGGATGATGTTCCATTCATTAAATTTCATTTCTGGTTTTTTGTTAACATTTTCATATGCTTTTTTTTTTTTTTTTTTTTAGATTGGCACATTATATTACATATCATACAAAGCTTCGCAATCAATTTTTCGTTCTCCTCTTGTGAAAGATGAAAATAAAGAACTTAAGAATTCCTCAAGGCGAGGGAAATACAACTACCAGTGTTGGGTAAGGCAAAAGTATTGGGTTATTTTTGAATTTTGCTTGGCTTTCAATTTTTTTCAATGTTTCTTGTTTAATTTTGCTCTGGCTGTTGTTCGTTTCGTGTAATAAAATGTAACCGCTTATCACATTCATAAAAACTTGATCAATTCTCTAAATATATAGTCGTAGGCATAGGTTAAATATAGTACATCGCTTAGTACAGTTACCTTTTATGAGTTAACTAAATGTTTTCGTTTCATTAATAGCACAGTGTAAACGCTTCTCCAATGTCTTCTTTTCGACTCAAGGGCACAATTTAATTTAATTTTAATTTTAATTTAATTTAAATTCAATTTAATTCAAGAGAAATAAACGTTTTGAACATTTTTCATTGTATGGATATTCTTTCAATTCTTATTCCATTTGTTCTTATTCCTCGTTAGCCTTTTTATTTTAATAATTTTTCTAGATTTTCTTTTTTTTTTTTGGTATTTTTTGTTTTTAGTTTAGTGTTTTACTTTTTTTGGTATTCTTGCAACAACTACAATACATGCAACAGCAAATTTTGGAGTGCAACATAAACGGTCTGACATTTAGGTGGAATTCTCGAAAAATATTCGAAAGAGAATTTTCGAAAATTCCAACTCCTTGCTTGTTTCATTTACTTTGGTATATATCTAATAGATTTTATGTATGTATATGTTTTGGCTACTCATTGTTTTGTTGTTGTTTATTTTTTGGTTGTTTGTAAACTTTGCAAAATCTTCATAACTTTTGATTCATTCAAAAAAATAACTGAATATATTTTCGTTTGATTTTTTGAATTCTTGCAAAAAAAAAAAATACATATAAATAAATAAGTATATATAATATATGTGTGTTTTGGTTTTGGTTTTGAGTGTGTTGTATATATATTTATGTATATAACTGCCGGTAGGGGTGTTTCATTGTTTGAATTACACATTTAATACTTAGGTTTTTATAACATTTACTTTATTAACTATTTTTTATGACTGTGAATGCATTTTAGTTGATTTTTTATTCTATTACATTTATTATTATCAAAAGAAATGCTTTTGATTTGACCTTATGGTTTTCTTTCTCTTTGTTTGGTTTTTTTGTTGGAAAATAAGTACAATATATAGCCTGTATATATGAAGATCTAAGTGTTTGGGTTATGGGTTCGACTTCTTCTTTTTTGAAAATAGTTTTTTTGTTTTTATTTATTTTAAGCTATTAGGTGGAAAATCGGAAACTCATGTAAGTAGTTCACTTGAAACGTACGAATTTCTTGTTTTAATTCATTTTTCTATCGGGGTTCTGGGGGGGTAAAGACTGTGTATGAAAGTGCAGTGTTGTAAAGATTTTCTTTTTCAAATACAGCCCTGAAACTAACAGTTATGTGAGAGAAGTTAGTGGTCTAAACTTATCGGTGTACCTTTATTGTGTTGTTAGCACAAAATACCTATAAAGTATTATTTTTGGTATTATTTTTAGTAATCTTTGTTTAGTTATTCAAATTAAAATACAATGGATTCGAGAGAGGGGTGTATGCTTATTTTTGATAAGCCCCATTAAGAGTTCTTTTTATCCACACACTCACACAATAATCTTTTTAGTTTTTTTTTTGCATAATTTTTTATGTCCTTCCTCTGACCGTTATAACGATCCTCTTACACAGTTTCAGAATCTTAAATAAATATAAAGCACAAAGTGTTGACTCTCCAGTTTTTTTTTCAATTCTAGTTTTTTTTAAGTATATATGTATGTTTATAGGTTATGTGTGTTTGTGTGAGTGTGGCTGTGTATGTGTGTGTAAATACAGTATATAAAGAAGTATATATGTTTTGCTTCTTTCCCGCTTATCCTTTTAGCATCTTCTGGATTATCATCTAATACATTCATTAATAGTTTGATTTTTTTTTTTGTGGTGCTCCCATAATTTTTTGAAATTTTCGGTTTTGCAATTTCTAACCTTTGACCTGCGATCGCGGTATTTTTTAGGCATAAAACTCCGTTTTTCCTTGCGTCTTATAGGCCTCCTCCTCGATTTTGTACATGTCCATAAGCTTGATTTTTTGTTCAGTGTATCAGCAGAGGTTGGAAGCGTTGATTTCAGCGGCAGCGTGACAAAACAAATACAAAAACATTTCGCAAAATAGTAAACAAATTGTGTGTGTGGGTATTTCAAATGGCACAGAAAGAGACAAAGCAACAGGGCAATTGTGTGTGTGGGAAAGAGACAGGTAAAAAAGACAAAGAGATAGAGAGAGAGAGAGACAGAGATAGAGCAAAAAATATACTTTTTAGTTTCAAATAGTTAGTTATTAAATATATTTTTAGGGCCACACAGCAAACGATAAATGACAAGGCGTTAGGGGGCGTGGTAGGTTATGTTTTTAGACAGAGACAGCCAAATATTAATGAAGATAGAGACAGCGAGAGAGAGAAAGAGAGAGAGAGTGTGAGTGATAAAGAAAGAGGGCTCGAGTAGTAGACAGAGAGAGTCAGAGAAGTATTTCGATAGTAGAGCTGCGGGATTTGGGAAATATTCCAAAGGTTCCATTTATAGAAGACACATTAAACACAAAAACTAAAAAAAAGACACATAGAAGTGAAATAACAAAGCTTCAATTGATAATATTAAGGATTTTATAAAATTTAACAGCTTTTAAATAAAGTAAAAAAACATAAAAAACAAAGATACAGGAAAAAAATTATTTAAAAATGTAAAAATTTATAAAATCCAAAGTGGAATGCTGTTATGTACTTTTAAAAGATTTTATGAAAATAGGCATCTGACTTTTAAGTTTAGTTTTAAAATGAAATTATTTAATAATCATTCCACATTTAAATCTTGAAGAAAAAAAACGCAACATTTTAAAGACGCCACACGATGGAAGCAAAATGAAAAAACATTTAACAACAAATATATAGATATGTATTCTTGAAACATATATGCATGTATATAATACACGAAATAGAAAGTAGTTAGATAATTACATCTTATCGGTTAGTGTGAAAGTTTAGCAGCTACTGACTGTTCGATTACTTTTCGGGTTAGTACGGATGGGTCTTGCGGTTTTAGGTTAGGTTTCTTTTCAGTTAGTTATCAGTTATCGGTTATCGTTTTAATCGTGTTAGCAGTTATTTGGTTATCGGTTATCGTTGATCAGAAGAAGCATTCCCAGGCGATACTCTTTCTCTCTTACACATACACTCTTCTCTCTCTCTCTCTCTCTCTCTCTACTTCTCTAGCTCTCCCTCTCTTTCTCTCTCTCGGGACTGGGATGCTTTTCTTCACTGTGATTTGAAAAGTTAACGGTTTTGCTATCATCATGGCATTTGTTCAGTTATCGCTTATCGATTTATATCGTTTGGTTTATGATTTATGATTTATGATTTATGGTTTATCGTTTATCGTTTATCGCTCTCTAGCTATACAGATATATAGGTGTGGTTGTCTAAAGTACAGTCTCAATACTGGTTATAGTGTCGGTCTGGGGCCGAGTTTCGTTCAGTACCTTTTGCACATCGGTACTGAATTCCTCGATCTGCTTCGAATGGGCCAGCTTTAGTTTCTCCATGGCACGGCCCTGCTTAACACCGATTTGCTGAAAATTTATACAAAATATTATATATAGTCTAGTTTAAGGAATAAAATATCCTTTTACCTTTTTCTCTTCCATGAAACGCTTCACATTGTTTTGACGTTTCTCACGCAGGCGACGATCCTTCTCGTTCTTGGTCTTCAGCGTCTTGTCGTTCTGCACTTCCTTGGCGGTATCGGCCGAGGTCTTGGCCTGCTTGGCATTCAGATCCTTAATGTCCCTGGAGTTACAGTATAGTAGAGTTATAGAGTATCCACAAGGAGAATGATAATACTCTTACCTGGCATGTCGATCCTCGAGCTGCTTGATCTGGGCCGCCTGAACGGTGAGCATCAGTGCCTTCATGGCATCCTGCGAGTCCTGGACGTGTTGGCGCAGCATGTCCCACTCCTCCTTGCGGTGCCTGGCGATCATGTCCGTCCACTGCTTGGTCTGATCGTTGATGGCGTTCTTGATGTTGGCATCGTTCCGGATGTCGTCCTTGCTCTTGCCCTTGATGAGCTTGTCGATGGCGGCGTTCTGGGTCTTCTGGACGGAGGTGCGCTCCTTGGCGTGCTTCTTGCGCAGCGTGTCCAGCTCCTTGATCTGCTTCTTGCCGACCTTCTGGAAGCCCTTCTCCTGGCGCAGCGACTCCAGCGTCACCGGCTCGAACACCAACGGGGGCTCCTTCTTCTCCTCCTCCTTGGCCTTGCCGGCGTCTCGGGCGGCACCGCCACTCTGCTCCTCGATGCCCAGGGCCTTCATTTGCTCGTTCTGCTGCTTGGCCGCTCCGGCGAATCCTCGGGGATCCGACAACATGGCCATGAAGTCCTCGAAGCCGTCAGGTACGTAGATCTTAAGTTCGATATTGACGAACAGCATCGGCAGGGACATGGGGAAGTTGGCCTCCGTGCGCAGGGACACGTGCCGATAGCCCGCCTGCAGTCCATCCAGCGGCAGGATACGCTGGCCGATCATCTTGCCGCTCTCCTCATACACTCCGAACCGAAGCACGGCCAGATCGGGGAGCACCACCTTACGGAACACAAACGCATCCTCGTTGTAGACCGGGTTGAGGCCGTTGTTGGGCACCAACCGGGTGCGGAACTCCTTTTTCACCGTGTCCGAGGGCAGGCCGAACATGTCCACCTCCACGTAGGTGCCCACCTTCTTGTCCGACAAGAACTGCCCGGCTATCACCTTGACAGAGCACTGGGCGGCAATCACACCGTCCACGGGGGCATCGGCAAACGGATCAAAGTCCTTGTCCGCACGCCGCATAAAGTCCGGCTTCAGGAGGTAGCCGCATCCTCCGTTGTACTCGAACTTGCCCTGGTTGAGCTGCATGGGCAGATCGGAGGTCTGGAAGTTGAGGGACACCATCTGACAGCCGGCGTTCCAGAACACCTGCGGCATGTAGTTCGACGAGTCCGCCCTGGTGCCCTTCGGATAGATCCTAGACATCTGGCGCTTATTGTAATTGACAAAGTCGATGGAGCTCTGCTTCAGATAGTTCATGCCCGCCGATTCCGCAAACGATGACATGTTGTGGGCAATGTTTTTCTCTATGAAGGGAAGGAAATATGGAGGGTATTACTTATAGATCTTCTATATATAGAGATTCTTCAAGCAGGGCCTTAAGAAGATGGGGATTCCTTACCGATCGCCTTATCGAAGCCCTGGAACTTGATGGGCTGGGCATAATTGACCATGGACGAGAGCCAGGGGTGTACGTTGGTGGTGGATCCACTGTAGTTGGCGGCAGCTGCCTCGGCCTCTGCGCCACCCCCTCCCTCGGCGGCACCACCCTCGGCGGCGGCAGCCTCCGGTGCTGGGGCAGGGGCGGCGGCCGCCTCGGGAGGCTTGCCCGCACTGGCATCCTCCTCCGGGTCATCGTCCGTCTTCAGCTCGCCCTTCAGCCAGAGCTCCAGCTCGACCTTCTCCACCTCCGGCTTCATGCGCTTGTTTTTGATCAGGATCTTGCGTTTTAGCTTGCACGGCGGCGGCAGCGGTAGTCCTGGGTCCAGCTGCAAGGATACCACGATTAAGAGACAAGAATTGGGGATCAGATGAGGTAACCAACCGGATGCTCCGCCAGCGGCTCCTTCAACAGCAGGTCGCCGAAGAAGTCATCACAGTATTTGGCCAACTTGTATTGCTGGGCTCGGTTGCAGTGGTTCTCAAAGGACAGTATCACCGGGTACTCCGAGGACACAAAGGCGCAGTCTGCAATCGCCTGAATGCAGTCCTGATAGTTCAAATATTTTTTATTAAAAAAAGTTTAAATTATAATTAAGAGAAAGTCCAGACCTTAAAGAGAATTTCCGTGCAGTAGGCGTGACCGTGAGTCACAATCGGCTCCTCGTCCTCGCCCTTTCCATTCCAGCAATCCAGTTCCACGCAGCGACATCCCGCCAACAGGGTCTGGCGGTACATTTCCACCGAGCTCTTTCCACCGATCTGTCGACCGGACAGGTAGGTGTTATGCGAACTATTTATGTAGTAGTGGGCCAGAGGCTGATCCATCTCCATGTAGAAGTCCAAACGGTCCAGGAACACTGGCGCATTCTCATCGGACATCAGGTAGCGCTTGAATCCATCCAGCGACATTTGAACTAATGAGATTTAAGTATTAAAAATATTAATAATATCTTAATGAACTATTAGTTATTTAATGTACTTACCACTTTTCTTTTTCTCCTCATCCAGCTCGTAGTCGTTTATGATCTCCGTGCATCGCTTCTCCTCGTAGAGAGGAAACAGAATCTCATTCATTCGAGGATCTCGCTGTTTGTCGTTCATGAACTGGATAAACTGCTCTAGACTAATAAAATCTTGTTTGCCCTTGGTGCTGTAGTAGGAATAAAATATTAAGTGTAAGTAGTTTTGTTTTAAAGAATAGAGTTACTAAGGGGTTAGTATACAATACCCGATACTCAGGGCATAACACTTTATTCCCTTTTTTTGGCTTAAAAGCCTTTAATATAGGTTAGTGTGGACTACAGATAGATATAAGACTAATATAGATTATACTATATAGATTTAAGACCAAAAGGGCCTCTATGCTACTGTATAGTTTCAAGATTATAGGATTATGTTTGTCAGCTTCTTAAAAATATACAAGAATTATGAAATGTATTTTTCAAAGTATCGGGTATCGTATCATCATTAAGTCATCAACATAGTTTACTACTATAAAATAGTAGTATAGCACTTACATAGACGTAAAGAGCTCCTCGATATCGTTTCGTGGACAGACCTTGTGGTAAAGTGCATAGAACTTATCGAAGGTGAACTGCTCCTTGGTCATGGTGGCGTTTTTGTCATCCGGAAGTCCTGCATCCTTGATGCAAGTGTACACCAGCTTCTCCGTCTTGCCAGAGGCGAAGGTTTTGGCCAATGTTTTAACCGGAATCTTGCCGCTTTTCTCCACACAATAACTCAAACGCATCCAACTGTTATATTTTTATTTAAAAAAAAATGTTTTTTAAGTTTAGAAAATATTTTTTTAAAAAATTTAGAAATATTTTGCAAAGGATTTAGGGGATTAATAGGTGAAGACAGAATGTGAATAAGAAATACTACAAATACTACAACTTGAAAGGTAACTAGTTATACTTACCATCTTGAGAATTCAATTAACTCTTTAATCTACTTATTTGGCATTTAATTAGAAAATTAAAAACTAATCGAAAATTATCCTAAAATTAGCCACGAAATCGGCCAGAAATTGCTGCCAAATTCGAATGAATGAATACAAAATTGATTGGCAATCAAGTTCATGAGAAAATAATTAACAAGACTCATAATTAATCGAGTTGACATATTGAAAGCGGCTATCAGTCAATATATTTGCATTCCAAGGTGGGCTTTTAGTGGGCTTCGGTTTAGTGGATATCCTAGTGGGTCAAGTAATTGCGTCGACTGACGCATAAATAATGCAATCAAAAACAAATTGCAAACTAGGACAACTAATTTGCAATACAAACATGGCACACACGGGCGACACGCCCCCTTTGGCCTGTGGGCGGTGGGTGGTGGGCTGTGGGCTTTGGACCAAGGTGTTGCCACCTTGTTCGTTGGTTAAAACGGCTCTTCGTTCATTGGGATGCACTTTGCAACTTTGCCCCAAACCCAGCTAACCTCTGAACAGTGAGGAAAACGGTTGGTAGAGTTTCGAATTTTCTTCAAAATAAAATTATCAGATATAGATAGTACTGACAATATTTTGAATAGGTTTATACCTAAAATTTTTGATAAAATATCATTATTTTAAAGCTTAATTTTTCTCAGTGGCTTGTGTAGGTGTAGCAGGGCCGCCCAACACTCTCTGTTCCCCAAAGCCTTTTCACACACTCGAGTTAACAAAACCGAAAGGACGAGTGGGTGGTTGAGTTCGAAACAGGCAACGCATATCCAATGAACCCACACAGTTCGATTCCCGCCTCCTACCTCTGGCCTGCTGCCTGCTCCTGGCCAGTGGCCATTGAAATGCATTGAAAGCATTCGAAGGACTTGGCCAAAGTTTGGGCGTTTTAACCCAATTTTAGAGAGCCCGAGCCCAGGTACGGATTTTATGTGAAAATTCAACACCCACGCACAAGCTCAAGCCCGAAGCTTTAAAAGTCAGAAATATCCTTAAACACGAATTTAATTAAGCATTTAAAGTTTCTTTTGTTTTTCCCGCAAATATGATATTACCAGAAACACAAAAAAGGAACCACCTCACCCACCTTCCTTCCAAAATACAAAGACCCAGCCCAGAGTTTCAAACCCTTTACTTTTCCTATACTTTTACAAATAAATTGAAAATATTTTATGCTGAAGGTGAGGAGAAACCTCAACCGTAATAGTATATAGTATAAAATATGTAATTAAAAGTGGGGTGGAGATCCTGTGGGGTCTAGAGTTCCTGTTCTGGGATCGAATTGCATTTGTTTTTCCAGCGAAGTTAAAGTTCCTGGTATTTTGTAATCGCCAATCAGGAAATAAATAGCATTGGAATGCGAATAATTGACTCGAAAAGGATAAAGTTTTTAAAGGAAATTCAATGAAAAAAGTGGGTTTTAAATTACATGAAAAAATTCTTTGGATTTTAAATATGATACAGTTCAAAAAGTAAAATACCAGGAAAATTAAATATGGAACTTTACTTACCTAAGAGGTTTGGACTTATTTTGTTTAAATGGCAATAATGAATAGCAATATTTTGTAAATGTATTTATTATTTAAATACTTATAAAATAATAATTTAAAAAAATGGTAAGATAGAATTTTATTCAAACTAAATTGTTGAAAAACATTTAATGCTTGAAGAGGCACTAGTTTGAATAAATAACTTCATTAATGGATGTCGAGTTGGAATCTTAAGCCCTGAGTTCAAGTACGTCTTGAGGTTATTTTTTTTTTTTATATATTTTTTTGTTAAAAATTATAGTATACTTACTGTTTCATTAAATTGGTACGCGGACACACATTTGTGGCGCGATTGTTATGCGTGATGAGACGCAAATTCTTTTGCCAGCTCTTTTATAGAGCCAAACGAAAGAATGCGCATTATAGTTGGATAGAAAGAGATAGAGTAAAGAATAAATGGCAACAGCAACAACAACAAATAGAGAAAGTAGAAAGTGCAAAGAAAGAAGAACCAGCATGCAGAAAGAAGAACAAGAGAACAAGAACAATCGATGCAATTATGTACACAGTGTAATCGAGTGAGGTGCAGCAAGTGGAATTAATGTGGCAAGGCGAAAGGATACACAGGATGCAGGACGAAAAGGAAAGTGGCTGCGAGGTGGTGAAGTGGTGGGGGAAGGCAAGAAAAAGGGCCGTGAACACGCCCACTTACTGTTTCCGCAGACACATCATGGGGCAGATATTGTTCGCTTTGACATTATGTGTGATTTTTCGTATGCCATCTAGCCAGATCTAAAAGAACAAATACGAGATACGGAATGGTTCGGTCATTTGTTTTCAGTGTATTTTAGCCAACTATGTATGCTGGACCTCTACGAGGTTATAGTTCTTATTGTTATATGGGTTTCGAAACACACTTATGGGTAATATTTGATAGGGATTCTTAAACAATTTACCACAAAAAAATAGAAAATAATCAAGAATAATAAGTAAAATTACATTTTTTTCTTGGTATTTTTCGACTTATGTAGGTCTACCTTATGAGAAGCGAGGAGGAAGGCTGTACAATATGTATAAATATTAAATATATATTTTAAAATATTTTGGTATTAATTATTACCGAATTCGTATATGGTTTTTTAACTAAACCTTATGAGAAGCGAGGAGGAGGGCGCTGTCATTTTAATTAATATGGATTGTAGTTTTATAGTATTTTTTTATTATTTTAGTATTAATTTTATGTGAACTCTTATTTTGTTTCTTAGCTATACACCATGAGAAGCGCGGTTAAAATTCATTAATTCATTAATTTTATTAAATTCAGCTAATTGGAGGTAACTATTAATGTACGATAATTTTCTAAAAAATACTATAAGCTTCATACTCTCCATAGTCACTGTTTAAAAAATATCTATTTTTTGAGTTTAAAAGGAAATGTAAAGGATGATATAGTCCTTGTTCTTAATCCTGACAGTGTCAGTAACTTCTTGATCAATAATTAAATTATAGATTTGGTGTGGTAACTAGAAGACTCACCTTGGCTGTTGCCGCATCTGGACAAATAACATGATGATATGTTATATTGATATAGTCCGTGTTCGAGCAGATCGTGAGAGATCGCTTATCCAGCTCTGGTATATTGGTTCCGTTTTTCTTTGTCACCTTGTCGAGTATCTTGGGATCCTGTAAAAAAAAATCCAAATAAACAAAATTCATTAGTCCTTGGTGAAATAACAATCGGCCAGTGTCAGCCATTTGAATGCAATTTGGCGCAGCAGCAGCAACATCAGTGGCCGACGTAGCAACAGCAACAGCAACAGTGGCAACATCATCGGAAAACATTAATCTCCGGTGGCATCATTAATCAAGACCCAGTACCAGTAGTTGCCGGGGCCCGCGGTACGTTGCAAGAGAACATTTATCAACATTTGTGCAGCATTCGCGTTGCGAAACAAATATATTTTCCTCCAATTTCCCTTTCACGTCAACAACAATTAAATGCCCGCCCTGTTGTGTGTATTTCTGCCAAACAATTTTCCCTTATTTTCACTCACTTCAATTCGCCGGTTGAGCCTTGCCCCAAAATTGATTGTCCAATAAAATGCAATTACACGATTTTTAATAAAAGCCTTGAACGCTCTTCTGAAACCGTAATCAAGGAGAGTCAATTCTTTAAACTGCAAGGACAAATTAAAGCCTTCAGTTTCTGATAATTCAGTGCGTGGACTTGTACGTGGTTTTCCTTTTCCGATTTGGGTTTAGAGGTAGAGTCTTTATTTGGTGTGAATTCGTTTGAAATTTTGTTTGCAGTAGTGACAAGAAAATGAAAGAATGTTGCAAATTTACATTTAAATAAAACTCTCCTTTTAAAAATTAAAAGAAATTGTTGGAAAGTCCAAAGTAGTTCGATACAAATTTATATTTCGAATTTCCCGGTACCTTTCTAGATTCTTCTCAATAAAGCTGACTTTTATTTCACATCTTAAAAATTTTTTAAATTAAAAAATTAAACTCAAGTTTTATGTTGGTAAGGATAATTTTTTAAAACCCCAGACCCTTGAAGACCCTTGAAAAAAATATATATAATATTATTGGTTATATTCTGTTGCTGCCTCCTGCCACCTTAAAAATATCGAATGTTGTTTCAAAGTCCTTCCACTCAAACGGTAAATTTCTTAAAGGAAATTGAATTATGCAGAAGACCCCATTGAGAGTTTTTTCCTCACCTCCGAAATACACACACACAGTCGCACACACACACACACTGTCACACATTCAATAGCTCAATCAGTTCGAGTGCAATTTGCGAAGAAAGCAAAGTGAGAGCGTCGGAGAAAGTGAGTGAAAGGACGAGGAGCAGGAACTGTAGCATACTTTCGAGTGCTAAATAAGTCAGCCTCCCACACTCACCACTCACCTCCCTCCCCCCCACACCGACGCTCGCTCCTTTGAACCAAATAAAGTGAAAGCAAATGTTATAAAAGTTTTTTCCCTTATTCTTTCTTTCATTCTTTTTTTTTTTTTATATACAAAGATGTACATATATATAAATAATTTTTTTTGCCACTTGCTTCGTTACAGAGGAAAAAAGGTTGTAAGTTAAATGATACTTTAAAAAGAGAGTATTAATTAAAAAAAATACTTTTTATTAGCAATGTTTTTAATTTAATAATTTTGTAAATATTTTTGAAGATTTAAATAATTTTTCTCAGTGTCTCAGTGCGATGAAAGCAGAGGCAGCTTCTTGCATTATTGAAAAGCCCCAACAACTAAAAGCCATGCCACAAAAAAAAAGTGGAAGTGGGAGTGGGAGTGGGGGGCAGACAATGACAGACGGGGGCAAGCGGGAGCGGTGGGGGCGTGGCAATAACAAAACTGCAACCAAGCTCAAATTTTTCGTTTTCAATATTTCTTTTCGGTTATGCTTCAGTTTTTTGTTGCTTTTTTGTCGGATTTTTTTTTTATTCAACTGCGGTTCTCGAGCAAACGAAGCAACTTTTAATGGTTCATTGTGCCGTTATGGTTCAGTTTCTTCTCTCTCTCTCTCTAACCACTCAAGCCCCGTCTCTGTCACTCCTCATTTTAGCGAGGAGTCTGAGTGTGTGTGTGTCGCTCACTGATTTAATATTGATGACCAAACATTTCAAGTGATGGCAGAGCACTAAACGCACACAGGCACAGGACTAAGGCATACAAATAAAAGGAAATATACATATATACGAAAATCACACACACACAGACAACTCTTAAAGATTTCGGTTTTTTTCCTCCATTTTCTGTTGAAAAGTTTTTGCATTTCGTGTCTGTTGCTTTTTCTCCGCTGGCGTTTTTCTTTTGGCCATCTCATTTGTGGTCAACGAATTTGTGGTACTTACACTCAAAAAAATGCTGAAGTACTACAAAACAATATACATTTTTAACAGATTTTTAAAGCTAACAAAGAAGCAATTGAAAATATTATTGAAATGCAACGATAATGCAAAGCATGAAAGGTTACGAGGAAAAAATGTATTCTATTTCTCAGAGTGCACATTGCGAATTTCTTGCAACTTTTACTCATTGGTGTTTATTTTGCATTTTAATTGAATTTGCCAAAGGACACGAGCCAGAGGAATCAAAGGATGCCAAGCGCACACACTTTCACTCTCTCCCACACTCCCACACATTGAAGGGGTGAGCCAAGGAAGGAAGTGCTTTCTAGTTCAAGTTCTCAATAAATAAAACCGAGAACAATGCCTAAGACTTTTATGTAAATTTCAATAAAAAAAAAGGAAAAACTTTAAAGGTTTTGAACCAGTTTCTTTTGTTTATACTCATCGTTGCTTAAATTCTTTTTTAATAATTTTTATAAAATCTGTAGAAATTCAATTTGTATTCAAGTGGTATGAAGACTTGATCCTCTTATTTGTAAGTCCCTTTTCCATAGCATACTTTTTCGGGCTTATGGCAAGCAATTCCAAGGCAAACGTTTCACGATTGAATGGAGCATTACTGGACCACCACACCTGGCTGCCACATAACTGTTTTCTCTTGCCCTACCACACTTTCAACCCCTCGATCCCCCTCTAGCCATAGCCTTCCCCCCTATCAATTTCCCAGGTGCATTTTCCACCGATGCACCTGTAAACCCAAATGCACACAACTCAAAGGGCTTGCTCTGGGCTAAAATACAATTCAAAGGAGCAGGATAACTGCAAGGACTTGAAAAAGAGCTTGTCGCAGTGTTGTCAGCTGGAAACTGCCATGATATTGTGGTAAAAATATCAAATATGTGCAGGGCTTATATATAGGGCTTTTTTGCATACAGGTCGTATACGTAATGTGGCAAGTTTTTGTTTCAATAGAGTTTTAAATACATTTTTTTAAATTAAAAATTTTGATATAAGTATAATAATCTAAATGCTTATAAAAATGCAAAAATTGTAAAGGTTTTCTACATCTTGATAATGGATACTAGGCGTATACGTAATGTATTTCTTTTTTAAACGATTTTTTTATGGTTCAAGTCTGTTATATTTTGGCTCATGGATATAAAAAAATATTACAAAATAAAGACATTCCAATCAATAAAGAAAATAACTATATAGAAGAGAAGTACTTAGAAGTATAAGTGGAACTCCACTAGTCGTATACGTGATATGGAAGCTGTCTGCATTTGTATATTTATTTTTATATTTAATCATTTCAGAAAAATAGTGTAAGCCTTATATGTTATACAATAAGAGAGTCTATATATGTATATCGATTTTATAAAGAAGCTCTCAAGGCTTGAAGACAAAATCCCTTTGTTAATTCCATTTTTATTATTTATTAATATTCCCTAAACCAACTCTTTTTCTCAAAACGGCCTCTAAAAACCACATCACTATCACTAGCTGGGTGATGAAATGGAAATTAAGGCTTTGGAGAGGTATAGAATGGGCAGAGGTTGAGGCAGAGGCAGAGGCAGTTGCAAGTTGCCAGTTGGATGCACTCATCCAAAAGCCTCCATCGCCGGGCAGGCTTTAGTTTCAGTTTCACTTTCAGTCCTTCGGAAAAGTGTGTCAAATGAGAGGAAAAACAAAAAACAAAAAAAAAACCAAACATAAGAAAGAAAGACTGGACAGCAAATCTAAATTAGTTCGAGACCCAGAAGAGCAACACCTGCATTGCCCATAAATACCCACACATACATATGTATACAAGATACTATATACACTGGCGGCCAGGATATGTGCTAGGACTATATAGATGGATTGGATGGATGGCGCAAATGGTGGTTCATTTCGGGCTGTTGCTGTAGCTGTTGGCTGTTGGCTGGGTCATAAATTTCATTTAGGAGACGTCGACAGACAAACACAAATACATCACTCTATCTATAGCAGGACCCCCTGAATGTCCTGCTCGGAGGAAAAAAAAAAAAAAAAAAAAAGGAGGACTGGGCGTGGCTGGACGGTTGTGGACAATAAATCTAGCGCATGGAACAAATGCGATTCGAGTCGAAGACGGCGACTTTGATCCGATCCGCAAATGTTGGCTGAAAACAATTGAGAGCAAAAGTGACATATTGACACATTAACCCACACACCCCTACTCACACACACACACACACTTTGTCACACACTCAGGCGACAGTTTTATGGCTTTGTAATAGTTCATCCTGGCAGGATATGCCAAGGAACTGCATTCAGTCAAAACTTGGCATGAAAGTGGGACTGCGAATGGGCAGGGGGAAGGTGGCGGAAAAGGACATCGGACCTTGGATGACAGGTGTCACTAAAGAAAGCGAAAGCAGATAGGAAAAGCCAAAGAAAAGAAAGACTTTCTAGGCAAGAAAAGTGAAAAATAGAAGGTCCTTTTTAAGTTAAATTGTAATAATATTTTTCGATGTTTTAATATCTGAGAGCCACCTAGTCGTATACTTAATAATTAAAAATGTATACTTCATTTATGTAATTAAATTTCGAAAATAATAACTCACCCTTGGCGTGCCTCCTGCACGAATATCGCTCACTTGGCACAATTCAATGACATCGCCATCCTGCAGAATATAAAATATTTAAAAAATATCTAAAAAAAAAAACAACCAAGAAAGAAGTAGGAAATTAATACTCACCCTTCCTTCACTCTTCCAATACAAAAAGAAACCATACTCGTCAACCTTGAAGAGGGCATCCCTCTCAAAGTCGTTCTCCTTGGTTTCCTTCTCGTTCTCGAACCAGCGATCGAAGACACAGCCCGTGGTCAGTTCCGGTGGCACCGGAATGATCCAATCGAACTCGTACTTCTTGGTCATTATTGCTCACTTCCGGCTTTCAATTTGACTTTGGTTTCCGCTAACGCAAACGCTACCACTTCCACTTCCGTTTCCGCTTCGGTTCCGCTTCCTTTTTCCGTTTTCTCGACTGTTTCAGTTTCAGTTTCCGTTTCCTCTTCCTTTCCGTTACCGGAACAACACAAAAATGTCTCCGTTCTCATGCGATATATATATATGAAATATATCTAGTCCAGATCTAGATCTGTCCCGCAGTTCAAACTTGGCTCTTGGACATTTTCGATAATCTCATTTGCTGTCTATCGATTATCGATTTCGGGCTATCGATTAACGATTATTTTGTTTACTTTTTAATAGGTATTTATGTATGTATATATTTACAATTGCATTTATTGTAGATCACATTGTCTCTGTTTCCGCAAGACAAATAAAATAAATAAAACAGAAAAACGCTCAGAATAATTGAACTTGGTTCGATTCTGTTTAAGTTTTTCTTTATAATTCCAGATTTTTCTTTTTAATTTTATAAATTTAGTTGGTTTTTTGGTTTAGTTTTTATAATCTTTGCGATTCAGCTGCAATTAGAAGAAACAGACAAAGCCATTAGACATGACAGGCCTTCTTGAAATAATAATCCTGTGGTCGGTCACAAGCAAATATCAAAGACAAGGGAAGTTTACACTGAGAGAAATGAGTATGTAAACAAGTATATGTAATAAGTATATGCTATATAAGTATACATATGTAAGTATATGTTTGATCAGCTAAGCTGTAGATATTTTTAGAACAGAAGCCATAAGAAACGTTTTTCTGATAATTTAATTTACTTATATATATATTATAATAGATAGATATATTTTGCATATATTAGAGATAGATCTATATCATAAATAGATATATTTATCTCACTCATATCTCATATATTTATCTCATTTAATTTAATTATAAAACATAATCAAATTAAACTTAAAAACGGCCTTTAAAATTTTCTTCCTTCGTTCTTGTATTTAATTTTATGGATTTCCCTTAAACACCACCCCCTATTTTTTTCTCTGTATTTGTGTCTGGTCAAGACTCAATGAAACCCCAAAAAACTCATATGATTCTTCATGAAGACTTGGAAGTTAAGTGCATCAAGGATTTCTTTTTGAAATTCGGGATTGCACTTCAAATGCACTTCAAAAATTCAAAGAATCTTTTTTTTAGGCTTTAAATAGAAGCCAAATACCAGCCTATTTTTGTTAAAGCTTAAAAAAAATTATAATGCAAGCAAATCAGGTAATTAAATTGAAAAACCACAACCAATTGTAATTGTCATTACGAAGCCATTGCGGAGTGGCTTTGCCAATCAATTGGCAATTGGTTACGCACAATTTTCACAATTATTTCAACAACAACAAAAAAAAACTTTGCAAATTGAATTAGCCAATTTACAATATATATTTTATCACTGACACAGTTTTTTCATAAAAAAAAAGAAACACAACACTCGAAAGAATAAAAAAATTATTTATTTCTCTTTAAAGTTGAGCCTGAGATTCATGCAAATCATTGCAGGATATAGGACTCACAGGACTCCAGGTGATGGGAGTACGGTTACGGATCCGGCTGATAGCTGACAGACAACTGAACTACGGAAAATCGCCGCAGCCGGAAGCCAAGAAATATCTGGCTGTTGGCTTTTGGTTTTTGGCGACTAATGGAATTAGCGACTGACGACATTGTCAGGGCCATGGTCGCGGGATTTTCGTCTATACTTTCCATTTCAGTCTCTGGTTTTTTTTTTCTAGCCACCCATAGACGATTCGATTGGGAAGCACTTTGGGGACTTCCCAACACCCCCTCAAAAAAAAAATGGGGGCGGCGAAAAAAGTAGAGGGAAACCATCACCATGGCCATGGCCTCGTGCACCTGACTTTGACTTTTATTCGCATTTTCCACCTGGCCTTATAATTTGTGCAACAACTATTTCAATTTAATCAATAGACTTGTCAGAAGAAATCTTTAAAGTTTAAACTTAAAAGAAAAGCTCTGCTTATTTCTCTTTAAAAATAAAACAAATTTAAAGCACTTTTTAAAGCCTTATAGCTCTTAGCTTATATTTAACAATATTTTATTTAAATATCTATTTATTTTTAGCTTCTTCTACTTGCTGTAATTTGTAGAATTTAAATAAAGAGCCAAGCTTACTTGACAAGCTTATTTTCTGTGACAGACACACTTCACGGGTGTCGGAGTCCTTTGTGTGACATTTATGCGCTTTCCATGACCCCTCCTTCAGCCCACACACACACATACATATAAAATATATATATATATTTAGCTTTCGGTGACTGATTATTTGGCGCTGCTTTGAGAACCGTGATTTCTTCCGCTTTCCTTTTTCGACGGCGCTGTCATGTCACACATGACTTCAAATTCAATGAGCTGCGAAATTTCGCTCATTGTTGAACTTGGAGAGCTCGTTAGTCAGACACACACACACAGCCATACACATGTGTGTCTAAGGATAACAAAAATAAATGAAAAAAAAAAAATCAAACACCCAGAGGACTCTAAAAAGCGTACAACAATAAAAAATAAAATACTTTCACGCCCGCCCCACAAATGTTTAATGAATTTACGCTCTTTGCGCTTTTGAACTTTCGGGAACAGAACTGAGCTGGCGAATTAGCGAACAAAAGCAGCTTCAAGGACGAAGGACTAAGGACTGGGATTCCATGGAGCAAGGCAAGGGGCTTTGACAATGCACTCGTTTTAAAATATGTGCGCTCTTATATAGTATGTGAGGGCACTTTTACTTTTTCGTTAGTAAAGTTTTCTTAAAGTTCCATAATATTTATTTATAATTTAAAAAAAAAACCTTTAATAATTTAATGGAATTATTATAAATATCTAAGCCTCTTAAAATCCATAATTCTAATGGCATGTCTGTGACATTTTTGCACACTTCTCTCACCCACTTCAATAGAACTCTTGCGAAATCGAAGCACTTGAATTCATACTAAAGGATGCGCGACCATTAAATGCAGAAGCCCTGGGAGAAAGGTTGAGAATGGTTAACGGTGAAAGCACGGAGAAAGCAAAGAAGGGCAGAGAAAAGAAAAAAAAAATGAAAAAGGAAAGAACAACACGAAGGCAAATCAAAACGACAGAGGCCTTAGAAAGCACTGTCATAACTCAGTATTGACACTGAGAGAAGTTAAGGCGTTTAAAAGTTAAAATTATATTACCTAAAATTTAAGAGTCGCTCTGTTTATTAGCAACATTTTATGAGAAGCGAGGAGAAGAGTCCTGAAATTTATTCGGTACTAGTACTAGTTTAAAAATGCATACTTATATCAAGGTTTTTGGTATTTTCATATTATTTAAAGATTAATTTTGGCTTAAGACAATCTTGTAAGAAGCGAGAAAAGCTATTAAATTTAAAAAGTATCTTAGTATTTTCCATTTTTTTTTTTGGTATTTTAAACATTAAAGCTTTTAAGTGCTTTGATTTGTTTGTAAACTACCCCTTAAGAGAAGCGTGGAGGAGAGCTCTGTCATTATTAATAATTAAGTTAAATTTTTTACCTAATTAAAAGAATAAAAAAAATTAAAATTAAAAAAAGTATATTTTCCACAAAAACTTTTCTTATTTAAAAAAGAATATTTATTTTTAAGCCCTTAATTTTTTTGAATGCCTTGAGTATATGACAATGGATTCTGCCTTTCCCCCGCCACCGCCCCTCCCCCAAGTGCCACGCCTCAACACCTGTGCCCCCATCGATATGTGTGTGTGTGGGTTGGAAAATTCGGGAAAATCCAAGCGATGAGGTTCTGGGAAGGGGCTGACGGGGGCCGGGGTAAAAATAACTTGCATAAACTTTTCCTCAAAGGACACACACATCCATATAGCCAGATATATTCAGCGAGAGACGCACGTACGCCGAGAAGTGTGCTACAAATATGCTCATTACGTGCGCGCCAAGTGGCAGGACCCTCCTCCTTTGCCTGGTTTTTGCTACCGCTACCAGTGCCCCCTTCCGTCGGCCACTCCCCTTGCGCCCGCGCCCTCGCCCGCCCCCAGCGACAATTGCTCAATTTATTATTGCATACTTTGCGGCCATAAAACTTGGCAGCCATCGCACTGCTGCCTCTTGTTGCATGTATTTATAGATTGCTTTACAAAATATCCAAAGATACATATAAACGGGGAAAGTATGTACTGGATAAGGGATATCTTTAAATTCTTAAAGTTCATTCTCATTTCAAACAGTTATTTACAAGCTATTTACACAAATTATGGAATAATTTATTCCATAAAGTTTTTATAAGCCTGGCTCAAAGCTCCTCCATTTATTGGAAATCCCTTGCTGTTTAACATGCATTATTTGTATAATTTTTTTGCTCCAGCTTGTTGTTTGCGTTTTAATTACAACACAAAAAGCCTGTTATTGGTACAAGGCTGGTTTATGTGTTGTTGTTCGGATTTTAATAACTGAATTTCCATGTCGAATCAGCATGATATTTATAGCATTGTTGAATGCAACTACCATCAGAGATTCTTATATAAAATGTACCCTTTTGATTCGATTTGTTGGTGAAATTCCATACATCTTCCAACTGGACTTGAGATGTTCTTTAGACGGTTGTTGTGGCCATTACACTTACCAAATTGAATTTGCCGGCCATACAATATTTGTGAAATTGGCATTTAAATATTTGATGAGACAAGCAAAGGGAAATGCGAACTCGAACTCGAATCGCAGGTACTAAAATATTTGAGTGTCCAAGGGGCCCGAATTCGAACATTGGAACACTGATTGCACAAATGAAATATTGAGATATTGAAGGGAAAGCCAGTGGGCTGGGGAGTGGGTGGACTGTTTTAGGGTCTTTTTTGGGAGGGGAGGTGGCTCAAGGGTCACACAAGCTGACCTTGCCGGCGCCAGGCATCCATCAAATTTGATGGCAGTGCAAGCTCGCGACTCATGCACTGAGTCAGTCAGTCAATCAGTTGGTCAATCAATCAAGCCCTCGCTCAATTACATCAATCAAATGTCCAGGGAAGCAGTCCAAAGGAAAGGGCTAACGGGGGGGGAGGGAAGGTAATCCAAAACCGAAAACTAAATGCGTTACTCTGGGGGTATTAGAGTGCACTTTAAGAAAATAATAGAAAAATCTTAAAAAAGATATAATATGACTAGGGATAGGTCTTAATACGTCTTAAAGTATGGTATATTTTCTATTAAATTTTAAGATCTTTTGAAAAGATTTTTTTGTAGTATTTTTTCCAGTTTACCCGATGACTTTCAGGACCCAAAAGTAATTACATCTGATAAACAAGTTCTCGTTTATGGTATCCTGCCCGAAAGAGACAGCACAGCCAAGCAACCGACAGAGACAGACAGAGCCATGGGGAAAAGGATTTGCTGAAAAACGCATTTTGCATTTTCCCAACAAAATGGCAGGAAATAAACCAAATAACTTATCAACTTGACAGATGCAATGTTTGACTAAAATATATATATACAAAAAAATAAGAAACAAGGGTATACTCTTTAACTTTCTATTACTTTTCCTCCTCCCCCAT